CTTCATCAACACTGCCATAAGTAGCAACTGTAGCAATAGTAATGGGTTGTTGATGTTCTTCAGATGCATCATACATTCTACCAGGAACATGTTGTTCATCATATTCTTGTGGATTCTCCATACGATCAGCAATCCAATCATCATCATTACCAACTAATGGCTGATAGTCTTCTTCTTGATTTCTGTTAGCCACTGGATTATTTCTTTTGTGATAAAGATGACATGACATTATCATTTTGTCTATTTGTTTAACTATACAACAAGGTATAAAAATGCCAAATATTAGAATATGGACACATGGTAAGACATATATTGAAATTACATTTACTTTGCTAAAATCATCATCAGAATGAAAAACAACACTAATTGTGCATCCAAGTGCTGTCACTAAAAACATAATTAAAAATTCAAAAAAGTTATGAATATTTCTTCGAAAGGGACGAAAAATGATAATGATTACTGCTAAAAAAAAGGAACAGCAAGCTTGAATGATTGGTATTGAAAATGCAAAACATTGACCATAAATAAATTGATTCAAAATGATTATTCTTGCCAGTAGGTATAGTCCAGCCATGAAACGATAATCATAAGTATTCTCAGTTCCATTCTTATAAGGACCAGTAAACACATCAGCCAGTGTTATCAGTAGCTGTTTCCTCAAATGTAAACGATCCAATAACTTATGAAACCATTTGAATGGATAAAAGAGTATATAAAGTGTTGGTAGAACAATCAGAAACAATAACACTAAGATTGCAAAAAAACCAGCAGCACCATGTACCCCCTTAAAGTAATCCTGCTTTATGTCGTAATAGAATTTGGTATTGTTAATACCAAGTGTTTCATTCTTAGGAGCAATGCTCAGTATTTTAAAGGAAGTGGCAGCTAATTGAGTGAAGCAGAGTATATATATTGATGCTATAGAATGAGTAAAAGATAGTTCAATGCCAGTCATACTCCAGAAACGTGCCATACAACGATGAAATGGTCTAGTAATAAATACTACACACTTGAAGCCTTTATCATACAATGTTATCCAGCCATAGAGTAAGAGGAGGAGAAGCAATGGATATAATCCTATCACATACCAAAAGGAAATTACTCCTAATGGTGGTGTATTAGGTGATATACACATAGAATAATTATAAATAAATGGAGTGAAATCTAAACTAAATATATTGCATGGTATTTCAGTCAGAGGTAGTATATCAAAATAATATGTGTCATAATCAGCATAATAATAAGTATAATAATAATAAACAAAGTAATTTATTGATATTATTTGTGAATAGAATACCACTCCATTAATTGATCCATTGGTTAGATGTATATTAAATATTAGTATTAATAATACCATGATTGTAATAGGTAATATTTCTATTACAATAAATATTAGAAACCCACATTTATTACATTTTACACATGTGAATATATTGTTAATAGGTATTGCCTTTGATGTGCAGTTAATGTAACACTGCCCTGTACTATCATCATGACAATAGCTATTAGTATCATTGATTACAGAACAAGGGAGGTAGTATGCAATATCGCATACTTGTGATTTGATGTTGTCAACTCCCCTAGTCTTACAAGAGGTATTGTTGATACCATCAGATGAACTGACATAGATTCCACACTCCAAACCAGCAGCAGAATATACTAGAACAAGAGAAAGAAGAGAGTCAAAAATCACTCCAGGAAACATCATTGTTTCAGGGCCGCTATGTCTTAAGGTGCCAAGTGACAGCTTACATAACACATCAATCTCAAATAGTGTTCTTATACTCCTCTTCAGGCATGTGCTTCTGAATATGCATGCAGGCTAAGAGCTGTATTGATTTTATTTAGTTCAATTATAATTTCAATTGTTAATTGATGTCTCATGCTCGCCCCTTCAATGTTTACATTCACCCTAATTGATTTTAAATAGAGAGTAGTGTACACATGGAGTGTGACCAGAATAGGTGTGACTGGAGACGTATGTACATGCATACATACAGAGGGAGGGAGGGAGACTTCGCCTGAGTGGGGCTTGCTCATGCTTGCCCCACTTATTAACATCATTTTAGCCTAATTTATTTAGCCTAATTTATTTAGTAGCCTAATAATTATTAGAGTACTGTTCATAAACTTTCAAATGTTACAATGTATGTGTTCTACTTGACTTTAGGTTTTAAAATTTTCTTATAATGTGATTTTTCCCTGTTAAGAAATAAATGTCTGGGTGTTTAATCCAGAAAATACGGTATATAATTTTGTTGTACATGTACTACATCTTTTTCTTACGTATAGATGATATAATTGTTAATGAAGCCAAAACATAATATGCAGCCATTGTTTTGACGACGGGTGGGTTTTTGCTTCACTTTTCATGTTATTTCAATAATAACAATAATATTAAAACAAAAAGGAAACAACTATAAATGATAACAATAATATTAAAACAAAAAGAAAACAACTATAAATAATAATAATATTAAAACAAAAAGAAAACAAAAACTATAAATAGAATAAACCTAAAAACAACAATTCTTAATCTAAATTAACAGCTTTTTCTAATTAATGTAAAGTTGAAAACTCTGCTATATGAAAGTCTAGCAATGACAGCTCACCCCAATTCTTACTTCTATTTTGGTCATATCGATTAAAAATATCTTGTGTAGCTTCGTAAAGGGTGATGAAATCAGACTCTTTTATTATTTTATCCTGAAAATCTTTTGCAATGCTGACATCATGACGTCTCAAGAGTAAATGTTTCAATTTTTTCTTACTATTAATACACAGGGCATCACCAAATGCTAAATTTATTGGATTACGTTGGCAATCGATCCAGAGATGAGTAAGGTTACCATATAGTGCTGGATCTACTGGTATTTCTATAGCTTTGACTAGTGAACACCTAATGATAAGAACCAAAAGTTTCTGGCATTTCCAAAGAGTGGTTTCAAGCCCTTCAATATTGTACAACTTTAATGTAGCTATATCTGTAGCATATGAAATATTGATTTCCAGATAGAGAAGAGACTCCAGACTTGATATCATCAAAAGCAAATGTTGACTAATAAAATAGTCTAATTCCTCAGTTGTAATAGATTCAAAGATGTTAAGACCCTTGAGTCTGGTCATTCTCTTGATGTGACCAATAACACTTTCCTTTACTGCCAATTCTCTATCAGTTAGGACTCTTGCTGAACGTCCATCATGCTGTGAGTTGGAGTTAAGTGGTGAGAAAGAGCAACAGTTGACTGACAAATATTCCAAATATTTCATTTTCGACAAAAGATTCCAAAAGCGTTCTACATCAAAGTCAATGCTATCTCTGGAACTAGTAGAGAAAAGAGACGCATCTAATCCTCTTAGCTTGAGGCAGTGTACAGATAATGGAACCATGTAAACATCAAGACAGTCGGATATAATACTTTCCTTCAAACTGACCTCCAATACGTTTGGGGTCTCCTTGACAATCATACAAAAGGACTCAAGTGATACGGTTACAAAAGAAAATCCAAGTACAGTAATGTTAACTCCATATTGACTGGTATAAACTGACAGACCAGGAGTGACAGCTTCATCTTTAAAAACAGCATATCGTTGACTAACATCATTATTTGCTGGTGTGATCAAATCCCTCATTGTAACCATTAGCTCCCCATTAGCAGTCACAGCAACAGATTCAGAACTATTAGGGCCAATTTCGAGTGAGTAATCGGGTATGTCATAAAAATCAAAGTCCAATGGTCGGCGAAATTTCCTATAAGTTGCGAAATAAGCTGCATGGGTAATATTGGGGAGATGGTCTATATTCCTGGACCAATATTGCTTGCCATAAGTTGAAACGACAATAAATGTTTGAGGTAAGCAGCTGTTTAACAACCATAGCTTAAAAAATCGTACCGGTTTAGAATAATTGTAAACCAGTACAACTTTTTTTAACTTAGCAAAAATTGCAAAAAATTTCTCACTAGAAAAAGGAAACTTGTGAGCAAAAGTGAGGCTTAAGAACTGCAAATGATGTAAAGCTGAATAAATCTTCTCCAAAGCATTGACAGAAATATAAAACCCATAAAGATTCAAAGTATGAATGTTATCGAAGCTAACAATCATTCGTTGATATTTACTGAACGGTAGCTCTCCCCTTAAACTCAGTGACTGTACATGTGGGCGACATGTTTGTAAAGCCGACTTGATGAATGGAGCATTTGTCTTATATGCATTATCAATCACAACGTTTCTCCACAAAAAAGGATCAGAACATATCATGTAGAGTCTTCTATTGACTAATCTAAGAGACATCTTATCTCTAAGTGATAGCATCATGCATATCTCTTGTATTACCTCATTTGGGAGGGAATCGAACAGGTTAGTATATTCCTCATCTTCATAATCACCCATCAAAGGAAGCTGATCAGTGGACTGATTGAAAGTAATAATAAGAGGTTCTGAGTGGTAGAAATCATCATATGACTCGTCATCAAAGAAAGAAATATCAAATTTAAGTCTTTTAGAGCAAGGTTCCATCGTTAATACTTGATACACGAGAACTCACATGGTCTTAATCTTCGAATCTGGTGTGCATATTGTGCATGCGCACATGTACTTCTGTAATTATTAATTTTGTTTGGGGCGAGCCTAAGCTCACCCCCGCCGCCCCAACAAAAATTAAACTCTAATATCTATGATCCCGCCCTCTCCCACACGGCCGGCCACACCTCCAGGTGGAATTCATTATTTTGTTTAATGTTTACAATAGGCATTAGCAGGCTTAAGGAATAATGTTGTGTACAATTTTTAATCATAATAATAATTATTATTATCAACATTACAATTCTGAATAACTGCTGGTATGTGTACTTGCAACTAAAAGTGAGGTGATGATTTAAAAAATGAAAGACAAGAGAGAGGGAGGGAGGGAGTAAAACTGATACAGAGAATAATTACAAGTTCCATCTTGGCCCTGATAAAGCAGGTACTTTATGGCGTTTGGTATTGCGACATTTTTTAGCCGAACAATAGTCTCTCTTGACTTTTGTAAACTTTCCAGCTTCATTGAACTCAGCATATACTAGAGAAAAAGAGAGTGTTGTGGTCAAATATTATGATAATTTTTAGCTCAAAAAGACACAGCCGTTGTATTTCCTGATACACATTGATGCCCTTATGCTATGCAAAAAGTTTGGATCAAATCCAATATTATTACAATTTCAGAGAGAGTTATTGAGCAAACAAAAACAAGCCGATATATAAGTTTAGGAACTAGTCACATTATTAAAAAACAACTTACAGTCTGTATTCCTCCGTCTTTACATAATCAAAGAGTTGTTTGACAGCTGTGGACAGACTCTGTAACTCTTCAATCAAAGGATTGTCGTATATTTTAAAACAACTCTTCTCCGTTAAGAAATTCAAACGAGCTAAGAGAGAGAGATTGTCAAAGATATACACATGTATAATCTTCAAACAAGAGTGTTTCAAATCGTACCCATTTCTGGTGGTAGGACATTTATTTGATTCCCTTGCAGCTAGAGTGTGGACAGCTTCTGACAAGCGTGTATGGTAGTCTTGGTAGAGGGTACATCAGCAATGTCATTATCTCTCAGGATCAACTGAGGAATGACTTTAAAAGGAATGTCAATTTCATTGTACTTACCACTTCAAGGTTGATGAAATCTGTTCGAATCATTATCGCCCAAAAAGAGAGCTTTTAGACACCCTAAAGCAAACAAACAGAGACATAAATAATAAACAAAAATGCATCCCTCCTTCTCTCTCTCCCTCACCTCCAAGGTAAGCAAGTTAGCTGAGAAAGAAGCTGATGATAAGTTGTTGTAAGTCATGTTCAGAATCTGAAGAAATGGGAATGACCCAAGCCTCTTAGCAACTCATACCTGTTTAACCTGTAGTGAGATCCTCAGACTAATGTACATACATACTTATGTACTTACGCTAAGTTAAGCTCCCTCAGTTTTGGTAGAGTACTTATTGTACTGGGCAAATCCTAACATTATTTATAGAGATTAATTATGTGATTCCCCACTCTAACCTCAAGCTGGTTATTAAAAAGATTAAGATATTCGAGTCCAGTTAGGCTCAATATTTCCGCAGGTAGACTAACTCTGATCATTGTATGCATAATTAGAATTTTAAAAACAATGATTCTTTCTGTTATGGCTCAATATCAGTTTAGTAATGTGACAAGCAGAAACTAAGAGAGAAAGAGTGTACATGCAACTACTAATCATTATTCTTTCCTCACATAGCTCCGGTACGTCTTCAAGGGCTGATATCCCTTCATCTGCAAGATGGATCTCTTTCTTTTCCTTCAAGTTTTCAAACTGCTTTCCTTAAAGCTCTGCTCATATTGTCTGTCTAGCGTTTGATGAGAGGTTAGGGAACAGTTTTAGATTATTTCTAGATATTTTTTCTTACCTTAACCTTGAAACAAAAGACTGAAAAAAGAAAAGTTAAACGGGTCCAGACATATGGCAAGCCAATAGTATCAAAATTCGATTATCTCATACGACGACATAAGAATGCAGCAAAATCATACAGTAAGCAGCAAAATCAGCTGATCCATTAGTTGATGTTAATACATAATAACCTGATGAACTGTCTGGTAATTGGCTTTTCAATTGCTTACAAGAGGTAGGTAAAGCAGTTGAGTCATAGTTCTTGTGCTATTAGCAGTATATCATCAGCTGCTCCAGCAGTAGAGGTACTGGTGTCTTGTAGATTAGAGAGTATTGACAATGTTAATGAGCTTCTGTGCAGAATCTCTTGTAGTTTGTCAGATTTGTTTATCAAGTTGAGTAAAGTTGGTATTGTTCTGAAATAGTTGAAGGGTGTTTTGTGATACACCATTAGCCCATTCATTGAAGTCAGGCAATCCATTGTTAGTAACTCCAGTAGTACATGTACATAATGTAGACATTTGAGCCAGTAGCAAGCAAAGGTTTACTATCACTGACAGTAATGCTGTATGGATGATTGGTTTATTCCACTTGTTCTTCCTTTTCTTTATATTCTTAGGCTCTTCAGCTCTCCTACCCTCCCGACCAGTTTTTTTGGCTGTTGCCCTCTCTTCAACAGGTAGGACTTGACACAGTTCATATACATTACTCTCTTTGATGGTGTCCTGTCCTAAGGATTCGCAAATAAATTTATTTTCAACTTTAAGCTCCATTGTGATATTATAAAGTCACAACAAGTCTCAGAATATGTAACTGAATAAAACAGAGTTTATATATACAATGAATGTATGGATGAGAAAAATTATGATAAGAATAGATCAGCCTATACAGACTAGATCTATTGTATGAAGTTGTAATGACTCATCTAAAATAACTTAAAATGTTACATGTAAGTACATCATTAGTCACTGTGAAGTAAACAAGTAATCAGCAGAAGGACTCTTGATAACAGCATAATGATAAACATTATAGTGATTTAGAATCTGTGATGCTGTAGCTCCCTCTCTTCAGCAGCTGAGGTTTGACACAGCATTCATAGACAATGGTAGTATCAGTCCTGTTACGTTCAAGAACTCATATGTAAATTTCTCTTCTCCCTCCAATAGATACTAATCACAGTAGGCAACTTATAAAACTGTGCATACATTTATGTACATTGAATCATTCCATCAATTCTATATTTACTTCATGTCTAAGAATAGCTTATAATGATTATAGTTAAGTGACCATCACTTAAGTAAACAAGAGCAACGAGTAAACAGCAGAAGGAGGACATAGTAGACTAGCTATACTAGTAATTAATGTATAGATCTAAAACAAACATAAACTATGAAAACAATAACTAAGTTTTATATTACTCTTGATGCCAGCTATTCAGAATTCAGTGACTTACCTAGTTTGGGCCCAGACTATGCATGACTTTCCTTAAAATGGTTAAGTTGATTTAAGTGCAAATGAAATGTGTGTTGTTATGAACCTGTGATGTATGTATGTTATGGTACAATAGTTTTCTGAGTATGACAGCATATGCTTGACTGGCATTATGCCAATTGTCCATTCACTACTGTTCCTGGTTACACACTATAGTCAATCTTTGTAGAAATTAACAGAAAACAAAAACAGAACAATTTAGGCGCTACTTTGCTGTTTAAAACATTATACACATACGTTCTCTTGACATAAATCTCATAAAAACTAACAGGAGTGTCTTCATCTGCTGTTGCTTGATCTCCACACACCCTCAACTCAATATAGTCAGTAGTGGTAGTGTTACCATAGTCTCTGTGAAACCATGGGATACCAGGAGCAGCACAACAAGTAACTTCAGGAGAACCACAACCTTGACCATCCCAGAGTGGATCAGATGTGTAGAGAACAGGAGACCAATGAGCAGCATGATTACCAGACTCACAGAAATAATGGTTTCCTACAAAAGATGGGACAGTCTGAGTACTCCCTGTTGAACATGGACATATAATTTTTGGATGGTTGTTATAAGTGTCAGTTACGCCATTTGCAAGCGTCCAGACATGTTGACGAGAAAACCCACGAGTAATACTAACACCATCAACATAAAAGAAATTGAGGTCATTAGAAAATGCACTTGGTGAATTATATTGATATCCTGTTACTCTACCACATATCTGAGAATAACTGATACCATTAAATGGGAACTGAACTGATGCACAGCCACCACTGCTTGTTACTGGTCTACCACAAGCTCTAACTCCTCCTGACTGGTACAGTCTAAACCCAGAAGGACAGTTCTGTGTAGCATCAGACATATCCAGATATGCTAGTCTTGTCCATCCTCCTCCTGAACCACACAACTCCTCCATATGACAGTAAGCAGTGTAAGTAGTTAATCCATTAGCTGATGCTAACATATAATAACCTGATGGACTGTCTGGTGATCGGCTTTTCAATTCCTTACAAGAGGTGGGTAAAGCAGTTGAGTCATTGTGTAGTACTAATAGTTCTTGTGCTATTAGTAGTATATCATCAACCACTCCAGCAGTAGAGGTACTGGTGTCTTGTAGATTAGAGAGAGTATTGACAATGTTAAAAAGGCTCCCTGTTACATTGCTGTTAACTTTAGATACTATATCATTAGTCCATTGACTGAAGTTAGGATATTCATTGTTACCAGCAATAGTTCCAGTAGTAGCTCCAGTAGTACATGCTGTATCTGTTGTAGACATTTGAGCCAGTAACAAGCAAAGGATACCAACCTGTAGTATTACTATCAGTGACAGTAATATGATGACTGGTTTATTATTCCATGTTGTTTGCTGCCTTTTCTTTATATCTTTAGGTTGTTCAGCTCTCCTGCCCTCCCTCTCAGTTCTCCTGGTTGTTGGTCTCTCTTCAACAGGTGGGACTGGACACAGTTCATATAAATTACTCTCAGCTTTGAAGGTGTCTTGTCCCAAAGACTCATAACTGAATTTACTTTCAACTTCAAGCTCCATTGTGATATCTTAAAGTCACAAAATGTCTCAGAACATGTAACTGAATAAAACTAAGTGAATGTACACACTTTTATGGATGGTAGGAATTATATCAGCCCACGAACTCATCTAAAATAACTAAAAATATTAAGTACATAATTAGTCACTGTGAAGTAAACAAGTAATCAGCAGAAGGGCAGCATAATGATGAACATAATGTAGTTATCTGAAAATTTGTGATGCTCTAGATATATTCTTAGGTTGTTAACTTATGTTAAGCTCTCCTCTCTTCAGCAGCTGAGGTCTGATATATAGCACTCAAACATTAGCCTCAGTCCTAAGGACTCATAAGTGACTTTTTCTTGTCCATCCATTGGATAAAAATCACAGTAGATCTTAGGATGCAACTTAATGTATGCATACATTTTATAGGAAATGATGATTTTGATCAATCTTTATTAACAAATGGGCCAAACATGTGCATAAACATTTAATCATTCCATTAATCCCATATTTACTTATGTCTATAAATAGCTTATAATGATTATAGAGTTAAGTGGACCATTACTTAAGTAAACAGAGCAATGAATAAACAACAAGTAAATGTATAAAATAAACATGAACTATGGGAACAATAACTAAATTTTATATTTGCTCATGATAACAGTTATGGTTAAGTCAACTTCATGTAAAATTGTTATGAAGTAACAGTAAATTGCTTGACTGGTATTATTAGTCAAAGCTTGATTGTCCATTCACTACTGTTCCTGGCTACACACTACAATTGTATATTCAATCTTTGTGGAAATTAACTTTTTCAAGAAAACAAAATAAAATAATTGAGGCAGACTACATTCTGTTTACAGCATTATACACATACATTCACTTAATGTAAATTTAATAATAACTAACAGGACTGTCTTCATCACTCATCTCTTCACCAGCACCCACCCTTAACTCAATATAGCTGGTAGTGGTATTGCTACCATAGTCTCTGTGAAACCATGGGATACCAGGAACATTACAACAAGGTGATTTAAAAGAACCACAACCTTTACCATCCCAGTGTGGATCAGATGTGAATAATATGTTGGTCCAACTAAGCTTGATTACCAGACTCACAGTAATATTGGTTTCTCACAAAAGATGGGGACAGTCTGGGAGCTCCCTGTTGAACATGGACAAATAATTTTTGGATAATTGTTATAAGTGTCAGTTATGTCATTTGCCAGTATCCAGACATGTTGACGAGAAGACTCACGAGTAATACTAACACATCAACATAAAAGAAATTGAGGTCAATAGAAAATGCACTTGGTGAATTATATTGATATTCGGCTGTTACTCTATCACATATCTGAGACTAACTGATACAATTAGATGGGAACTGAACTGATACACAGCTACCATTGTATGTTACTGGTCTACCACAAGCTCTAACTCCTCAGCCTAAACCCAGAAGGACAGTTCACCGTAAAGTCACTCATATCCAGATATGGTAGCCTTGTCCATCCAGTTGTCAGTATACAAACCAGAAAGACTGCTTGGTTTTTCATATCTAATTTGTTTGCAAGATGTAGGTAGTGAAAAAGAGACATTATTTAACTGCAGCAGTTCTTGTACCACTATTAGTATATCATCAACCACTCCAGCAATAAAGGTACTGGTGTCTTGTATATTAAAGAGAGTGTTCACAATGCTAGTAAGAAAGTCACTATTAGATGCAGCAAATGTTTTTAATAAATCTGTGTTGCTGTTCAACAAGGTTTCAATAAGAGAAAAAGCTTTTGTGTGGTCCCAAGCAAGAGCATTATATATGTGAGTAACATTAGTAATATGAGAAAGGAATTTATTGATATGTGCATTGTTGACATTCTGTTGATTAATTTTCTCGAGCGATATTACCAGAAGGGCCAATTTTCAATGCTTCCCTGGACCAAAGCTTGGGTGCTGGTACTAAGAGATGATTGATATATTATAAAGCCACACATAACACTAAAATGATAAGCAACACCAATATAACCACTAGCACTATTGCAATTATTCGAAGCAACCATTTGTCTTCAGTGTATTTCTTGCTGTGTTGAGGATGTACTTGACACTGTAGCTCTGGCTCTTCACTGGAAGGTAGTGCTTTCATTTTATGTATCACTTCATCAGCTGTAAAATATTGATTTTCTTCAATGTGGCTTTCCAATGTTGCTTCTGTTATAACAATATGACTGAAACAAAACTGCATGTTGTTCAATTGTGCTAGACCGAATAAATATAAGATATAACAAAAATTTA